ACAGCCAAAGTGCAATTTTTCTGTGTAAAATTCAAGTGTTTCATGAGAGATCGAAACACATTGATGTCAGGCTGCATTTTATAAGGAATCTGATCGAAGATAAAGCCATCAAGGTGGAGAAGGTTCCTGGTTGTGAAAACCCAGCAGACATGTTCACCAAGTCTGTTGTCTTGGACAAGTTAAGACTCTTTAAGAGCCTTCTTCACATTGAAGAAAAGTAGAAGGAATTTCCAGGGCAGGAAGTGAGGGCAATGATCAAGTGCCAAGGTGGAGATTTGTTGTGAGGTGGCAATTGATTTATGCCCACGTGGAAGTCAATATTTAATCTGGGCAATCAAAGTTATTATGCTAAAAGCTAAGGGGCAGTTCTGTCAAAACCAGTCTTCAATAAACCTAATCCAAATTAGGTTTTGCTCATTTTAGTTTCTCTCGAGCTTTCTCTCCTCGTTAACAGAGAGAGAAAAGTTTGTTACGAAATGCTAGATGCGCTGGAGATTTGAAGAGCGTTGATGGAATCAACAGTGGTGGTAGGTCTTAGCTGGATTGTTTTTCAGTTTCCTCTTCTGTATAAATCTGTAACTAATCCTTGGTTATTTGGTGTGGTGTATGAGAGGCGAGGAGAACTGGTTTTACAGAGGGGTTGTGTGCACTGTGTAAAGGGTGAGCGTATCTCTATAAGGTTCTCTTTTCTCATAGTGAAAATCTACTTATTGTCCTAGAGAGTGGATGTAGGTAATCTATAAGATTACTGAACCACTATAAATCTTTGTCCCCTTTACATTTCAATTCTTATCTGTTTATTACTTGTGGTTATTATCTGCTGTTTGAATGTTGGTTTTTGCTTTTGGTTTTGCGGTTTGGTCTCTTTTATTTCAACAGTTGCCAACAGGAATTACCCAATCTGAGACAAATCTGGAAAACTTATAATAGACCGCGCTGATGGAAATTTGAAAATTTTAAACAGAAAGGGAAATCCAATTGAAATAAGTTCTGTTCAAGCAACAGGAAATACAAGTGCTACTCTGGAGAAAAATGGCAATTTTGTGCTGTATGAAATGTATTCAAATGGATCTAAGCGAGAGTTGTCGCAAAGCTTTGACTACCCCACTGATACACTTCTTGCAGGGATGAAACTGGGGATGAACTTCCAAAGTGGGCATAAATGGTTTCTGCAGTCATCGATTACCGATGATTCTCCAGCCCAAGGGTCATTTACACTTGGCATGGACCCCAATGTCTCAAACCGGTTTCTGCAGTCATCGATTACCGATGATTCTCCAGCCCAAGACTCTTTCAGCAGCAATTATCGCACAATATACATGGAAGACTTCGGACCTCCCAAAGGTAAGTCTGCTCAAAATATTGAAATTGAATTTTGAAAAGAAATAAATACTGCTCAGCTTTTGACGGGACCCTTTCATTTCTCAAGAGTGCTTTGCTTCTTGAAAGGATTTGAAGCATTATTGTTTTGTAAGAATTATTCTAGACTTTTGTGGCAGAGGACTGATAAGCGAACTCAATAGTCTTTAAAGGTTTAAATTTACGATTTTTTTAATCTTAATTGAAATGGAATTCTTTTTATTCTAGCCAATGCAGAAATTAATCGGTGGCAAAAGCTAATCATTGGAGTAGTAGTATGCCTCTGTTATGCTACTATAGCTATTTGATCGGAAAAAAACTCAAGGTTAAAGGTAATCTAGAACAAATATAATATTTTGATCAATTAATAAAGATATCTATCTGGATTTATAAATTTTAATTATGTGTATAATCTTAACTAGTGGAAAGCATATGGAATCGATGGAAGCTATTACATGAACTTGGAGATAATATCTCGGTATCACTTCCGGTCAAATTTGGAAAACGAAAAGTCCAAGACAAAGATCAGAAACAGGATATGAAGATATTTGATTTTCAAATCATTGCTGCAACAAATAAGTTTGGACAGGGTGGTTTTGGTCCAGTTTATAAGGTAAAGTTGTAACCATCAATTTTATTAACAATTGGCGAACAGAGACTGCAAATGCGTTCAAATGATGGTTCATCATCGTCATCGAAAGTCATATTAGACTCAGGAACTCCCATCAGTCACTTGCCTCAATCCGTTTATTCAGAACTTAGCTCTTCATTTCAGGAGTTGATGTCAGAATATGGTCCCTTTAACTCATCTGAGAGTATGACGTGCTTTAATCTTGTGGGGCACGATTTAAGCACTATCAATATACCAACTATCACACTACAGTTTGGTGATTCCTTGGACTTAACGTTGGGCCCTAATTCTGTTGTTTTAAGTGAGAATTCTAATGTCTGCTTGGCTTTTATTGGAGATGATGTAACAATTATCGGTACTCATCAGTAACGGGTTTTGAATATACTCTACGATATATCAAATAAACAAGTGGGATTTTCTCTTTCTAAGGATGGTTGCAGCTATTAATTAATGTCAGTGACTCAGTGATTCATGTAACGAATAAATGAATAGAAACATCTAAGAATCAATCGAGATGTTCTATTAATAATTAAGCATTTAATTATGCACTCGAAACAATTGATAAGCAGAATGTACTCTTCTTTCGCTAGAATTGTAGCCAAGCTTTGACTATCCAACTGATACACTTCCTCCAGGCATAAAACTGGGAATCAACATGTAAACTGGGCATAAATGGTTTCTGCAGTCAATGACTGCAGATGACTCTCCTGCCCAAGAGTCATTTACAGTTGGCATGGACCCCAATGTCACAAACCAGTTAATCATACGGTGGGACGGTGAAGTCTGGTGGAGGAGTGGGCTTTGGCAAAATGGGCACATCAGCAGCTTCTTCGATTCTCAGAGTGACTACTTCAGTTACACTACAAATGAACAAGAAAAACACTTCAATTATTCTGTAAACGAAGATGTGACTTCATTTACAATACTACAAATTAGTTACCGCAGTGCTCTCATAAATGACCAAGAATAGTCTGTTGTAAGTAGCCTGGACGACTACCCTGACTGTAGGACAGGTTTTACTTATTTTATCCAAGAATTGGTTGTATGTCTGGAGAAGGATTGCAGTTCAAAGAAATTGACAACGTCACCCTAGATCATTGTCTGGCCAAATGCATGAAGAATAGTTCTTGCGTTGGCTTTACCAGTACAAATAAAATTAACAATANCCACCACCTCTTTTCCCAAAAAGAAGGGAGAGAGTTCTTAACAAAAAGAGTCCAAACCTCCAAATTTCACGACAACATGTCTAGCCCAAAAACATAAAGTTATGTAAAAACAGTACCATGGACAGGCCCAATATTTTAATTAAGTATAGACATAGCCCATAGGGCTAAGAAGGGACAAAAGGTGTAATTTAGTACAATAGACAAGTGGCAAAGTTAGTTAGGACTTGGTATCAGACAAAAAGAGATAGTACTGTTGGACTCCCTAATTGCTAACTTTGAGGGTTAGCTTCTCCCAAATTACCCTATATTCTTATCCCCCTAATCTGTACTCTCCCTCTCTTTGTATCCTCTAGCTCTCTCTCTCTCTCCCTAACTGAATTCCTTTGCTGTCCCAACCCTCAATCATCACCTGTTCTAACCTAAACCCATGAAATTTTCTTGTCAATATCCTCTCAATCCAGTGCTTGCTACCTTATTTCACTTTTCCTACACCCTCATTGTCCAGGTCCCATCATTGGTGGAAATCTGCAGATAAAGTGGCAATTATGTGTAATAATTTTTACCATTAGTAACGGAGAGTGGAGACACAGCCCAATGCCTCTATATACAAAAACTTTTAGGTATACACACCGCCAGAAAATGGGCCTATCCCGACGCACATAAGTGATAAGTCATCGTTCCAACCTGAAAACACATCACAGTAATTTAAAAGCATTAACGGCAACGCCACAAAAAACGTCGGTATGTTATTGCATAACGCTTATCTTAGCAATAATTTCCGGACACCAAAACACACCATCACAGTAGGGAAATATACTATGACGCATATTGCATCATTCTAGGCCTTTGACACATGATCCTCGTATAGTGTGACCCACTGAATATATTTTCTACCTTAGCAAATATTGTTTGCAGTAAATTAAGGGAAGATGTGTTGTGTTGGCCTAAATCATGAAGAAAGAAGGACAATTTTCAGTTCTTAATAAAATATTAGAGTTTCCGTGGAGCAAAATTTGCTAGGGTGCATGTGAAAGTGAAACACCACCCAAAAAAAATAAAAAATAAAAAAATTAGGATATGAGAATCTTCGTATATTACTTCTCAACTATTTATTACGAATAAATGGTCGTTCGTCTCTAAAGAATGACTGTTCATTCCTTAGAAATGATTGTTCATGTTTAGTCAAAGTTAATTGATGTGGTAGTCCTAACTCTGTTACCACGTTAAGATTGTAAGAAAATGTTATAAGTTTNTAGACAAGGAAGGAACACACCAAATCCGTAAAACCCTAGATTTCTCAATAAAAAATCTGCCCCTTTCTTCTAGACCAGTATGTGTTAAATACGCATGCTCCACTCCTGGATCATTAGCCATCTGTCTTTGATTCTTCATCACCGAAAGATCACACGATCAATTCTGGAACATTCGTTAGGGTTGAGAGCTGTCAAACCAAAACAGAAAAGAGAGAGAAGGTGTCTGCGCGAAAGTGTGAAGACCTAATCAGATAAGTCATTAGGTTTGGCCAAAAAGACGTTGCATGAGTGTATGACTTAACAAAGAAAAGTTTGACTTCCACCGTGGCAAATGAGAAGCCACATCATCACACTACTATACCAATTTGATAGGGAAAAAAACTCAAGGCTAAAGGTAATTTGGAACAAATATTACAAATTTGATAAATCATTAAAGATATTTGGATTAAAAATTTCATGTGTATGATCTTAACTAGTGGAAAGCAAATGGAATTGATGTAAGCTATTACATGAACTTGGAGATAACATCTCGGTATCACTTCCGATCAAATTTGGAAAATGAAAAGCCCAAGATAAAGATCAGAATAGGATATGAAGATATTTGATTTTCAAATCATTGCTGCTGTAACAAACAATTTCTCAACAGCAAATAAGCTTGGACAGGGTGGTTTTGGTCCAGTCTATAAGGTAAAGTTGAAACCATCACTTTTATTAATGAGGTTTACAACTGGTAATCACCAAAAAAATATGCCATGATTTCAGGGTAAATTACCAGATGGACAAGAAATAGCAATAAAGAAACTCTCAAAAAGCTCAAAACAAGGAATAGTGGAGTTCAAGAATGAAGCTAAACTCATTGCCACATTCCAGCAAACTAATCTTGTAAGGCTTTTGGGATGCTCTCTTCATGGAGGAGAAAGATTTTTAAACTATAAGTACTTGCCCAACAAAAGCTTGGATAATTTTTTCTCTTTGGTATATCTCAATTTTAAACTGGTAAGGATTTTACGGCATGCATATAACATTACCATGAAGTTGATAGTTATGAATCTTGAAAATAACCAAAAAGCAACTACAGATACACTTGCATTAATAATCAGAATGCAACTATGCAAACGCTTAGGTAAAAAAAATGAATGATCCGGGTTTGACTTGTCAAAAAGTTGCATGATCTGGGTTTGACTTGTCTATTATAGAAAATAGAAACTATCTCCAATAAGCACCCTTTAGAACATAAAGCTTATGAAGGAGGAAGGGGAAAACCTCAGGGAGTAATTAAGACACACCTTTAAGTCCACAAATTATCAAATTCATCCCCACCACTTCTTTTCCCAAAAAGAAGGGAGGGAGAGAGTTTTTTACAAAAAGAGTCCAAACCTCCAAATTTCATGACAACATGTCTAACCCAAAGACATAAAGTTATGTACAGACAATATCAGAACATACAGATGATAACTGAAATGTCGAGCAATATTAGAACATAGAGATGATAATCCAGAGGTTCACAAACTATAAGATGCCGAGTAAAAATACTTACCTTCAACTTCGGTAAATGAAGGGCAGGACAAGCTTTCAGTATGGACATCCAACAAAGAAGGTCTTGGGCCCCAGTAGCATCTAAAATCAATTCCAAGTGCTTGAGATTGCTTAACTTAGGAAATTGGATGAGTCTATTAAGCTTCTGAAAAAATTCATCCGAGAATTAGACCACCTCATCAAAATTCGGTTTGTTTGTTTGCAAGAATTTCGGTTCTTTGGGGACATATTATAATTTTTAAAAGATTACACAATACTTCATTAATCATAATTAACCTCTAATCATGTTTAATTAACCTTAATAAAAAAACAAGGCTATTTACTTAACACTTTCAAACTACATGGCCTTTTAATTAAATTTGAACTTCATATAGCCTTTTAATAAAATGCTCCCATAAAATTGGGGGTTTTATGATACTCACTGAAACATAGGGAGTTTACTTGATATTTTTCATAATTATAATGACATGTCGTCCAAGCGAACAACAAACTGACATGTTGTTTTTAAGTATTAAACGATGTGCACTACAAGAAAAATGTCTTTCGATGTCTAGCAAAATTAGACGCAGGAAGTAAAATTTAGATGCTAAATCATATTTCGCGTCTAAATTTCGTAGTCGCCACGTAGTTGCGAAATCGCTGTCGTAGAAAGTATGTGTGTCTAAAGTTTTAGTTAGACGCGGAAAGTTTTTTTTTAGCGACTAGCAAATTAGTTGCTAATTGCTGGTTAAATTAGTCCCCCCGATTAGACGCTAATTGTTCAAGGGTAATTTGGTAAAATTGTATCGCGACTAATCAATTTGTTGCAAAATGTACGTTTTAGTGTCTAATAATTTGTCGCAAATGCCACAAAAATTAGATGCTAAAGGTGTAAGGGCAATTTTGTAAAACATTTTCGCAACTATTTTATTAGTAGATGAATGTATCTTTTGGTGACCAAAATTTGGTAGTTAATTCTAATACTTTGAGATGCTGAATGTGGAATTCAAAAGGTTTTTGCGATTATTTTATTAGTGGCCAAATGTATCTTTTGGTGACCAAAATTTCATGGTTAATTCTAATAATTTTAGACGTTGAATGTGGAATCCAAAAAGGTTTTCGCGACTATTTTATTAGTGGACGAATGTATGTTTTGGTGACCAAAATTTGGTGGTTAATTCTAATAATTTTAGACGCTGAATGTGGAATCCAATTATGATAAATTACTGTTTGCTACTAAAAAATTAGTTGCAGAATGTGTTTTTTTTGAGAAAATAATTAGTAGTAAAAGCATTTTGTATTGACCTAGTTTATACATTCAACATCAATAAAATAATCCATCACAATATAAAAATCTGAACACTAACATCAAATATCATATTTTCATACACACACACACACACACACATATATATATAGTCCATACAACTGTTTAATCTTATTTTCTTGTTGTTGGACTACGCGCCTTAACTTTGCTTCTGCTCCTTCAAGTAAGATGAGCTGCTCCTTCAAGCATTATTGCACGAATGTATCATTTTTTCCTACCATCAATTCAATGCATAATCAATAAGTCAAGCAAGAAACTAAATAATTACAAATAAATTATAATTATTCAAGGTATACAATATGTGACAAAAACTTATGAAATGGCAATAGAAAAGAAAGACTACTCCTCAAAGTTCACAGAACGTACTGCAGCACCAAACCAAAATCAAATTGATGGAGTAGAAAAGCAAATATCTCACAGATTATCAATCTAAACTTCAATTCTCTGGTTTAAAATTTTAAACTAAGTTAAATTTCTACTTTCATTCAGCCAAATGTGTTTTTGTAGAATACAACCTTGTTCATAAAGGCTATAAATGTTTGAAATCTAATGGAAAAATTGTCATCTCACCTAGTGTCAAGTTTAATGAACATGAATTTCCTTTTGCCAATAATCTTGGTTTCAATTCAAGGTCTGATTTTGGTCTCAATTTCTGTACTTTTGATTGTTCATCTGATACATTGCATACATCTTCATCTTTACCATTCACCATTGTTCAGCATGTTGTCCCTCGGTTTCAACTCTTCCTATTGTCACCTCATTAAATTCAATCCCTTCAAATTCAGCCTACCTAAGTTAAATTTCTATATAATTTTACCAATACCATAACTTTACCGGTGTTTGCAGTGTAATTTTAGTTAACCAATATCATAAATTTCTACATAAATGTATGAGAGGTAAAAAGATAGCAATGAACTAAAAAAAAATAGTGTCAAAAAACTCAGAACTAACCTTTATGTGAGCTGAAGCCTTGTTAGTTGTTGTGAAGACCCCAGAAGATTCAACAATATACTCAACCTCATAATCGCCCCAAGGGATCTCAATCGGGTCCCTAGGTAGAGAGTTAAACGTTAGACCTTAAGTAGAATCAATTACTTATGTTTGCTGAGGTGGGTGATGGAGTTGATTTACAATCCATAGAGTTAAACGTTAGACCTTAAGTAGAACCCATAATGACTCCTAACTGTTATGGATATATATGCACACAGATTTTGGCAGATGGGAGAGGCAAGTTTGATGAACTTCAAATCTAACATTTGGTGCCCTGCCAATATCATACCTGTTTAGCCAATTCTCTAGTCAGTAAAAGTACCAAAAAGCTTGGTGCCCTGCCATACCCGGTCTTCCTCAATCCCTTTGTCGACCCATTAACTAGAGACTCTAAAATTGGCAACACAAAGGCCAGTGTTTTGCCCTGCATTATTTTAAACATGGCCAAAGCATAAATAAACAAGAGAATCCAGACAGTAATCCTATATTGCGAGGCGATTAATCAACCACATGAAAAGAATAAGTACATAAATGAACAAATATATTCTACTACACCTCAAAATCGCACTAATAGCTCTAGACCCAAAACTCTACTCTTCTCAGAAGATCAGTAACGGAGTCAATCTAAGTAAACTAAAAACATATTTCAGTGCTTTGTCCTAAACGGCATTTTGGTTTTTATTCAATTAAAGCTGGCAGTATTATACAATCAAAAAAATTCAATTATCATGACCTTAAATGCACATCATAAAAGGAGGAAGCCGCGCCAGTAATAAACATTCCCAAAGACAAATTGTGCATCATTTGTCACTCTCGCATTACAATTCATATTATTCTGATGCTAATTCAACTTCCAGATTACAAATATGACTTTGCAAGCTACCAGGATGCAACATTCTCCCAAACTAAGATATCAAAATTAAAAAAAAAAAAAATCAATTAAAAGAGAATATTATACCTAACCAGTGCGTGCATGTCCAACTAAGTCGGAGACATCAAGAACCATATCAAAAGTGGTGGCCTGAATTGGAAACAGAGACTCAATACCCTTAGACTTGAGTTTCTCTCTCAATGGTTCCGATATTCGAAACCTAGAAATAGCATTCGGATTCTCACTCTTCTCCTACTCTTCCACCTCAGCATCTACTTTCGCTTTCTTTTGCTTCTTCTGATCCGATTTCAAATTCACAGGCTCGCCTAATTCCAAGCTCGTTTCACTTCTTTCTTCGTCATCTTCTTCCATAACCTTTCACTTATTGCTAGAGAAAATTTAGCTGACTGACATCCCAAGTTTCGATTTAAGAAAATGGCCTTGAAATTGTTTTTCATTTTTTTTTAATTTAGAGAAGCTGACGTGGCACAGTTAGGATCTATTAAACATGTAAAATGGGTTAAAATAAAAGATTAAAACATATAAGGAAAAAACATAATTAATGAAAGTTTTTAAAATTTGAAATTTGAAAAAGAGCCCAACCCATTCAAATCGCTTAATCTAAACCAATTAAGGCAAAAATCGATATCTTCAATCCCTAAATGCATTCTTTGCAATTTTCGGCGATAACAGTCCACATTCCGACAAATTTTCACACCCAAATTCAATCCTAAAGCTTCTTCTTTTCTTAAAACCATGGCTGACATTCACAATGAGGAGGAAAACCCAACGCCTCTTTGAATCGTAGAGTCCGGCCGTGCAAGCAGTTCAATGGCTGCTCTGGTGGATCCTCCGATTAGTGAAGGTGTTCCAGCAGCGGAGACGACGGCGGCATAACAAGAGAGAGAACAGGAGCAAAACAGTTCTGAAGAGGAAGAGGAGCCGGGCAGAACTCAGGCCAGGAAGAGGAGTCCGACGAGAGTTCAGACGAGGAGGAAGAGGCCGCCAAAGAGGAGGAGGCCGCCGAAGAAAAGGTATTTGTACTTGTTGAGACCTAAGATCGTTTAAGCGATCCTTTGTATTGCTTAAGCGATTGATGACTTTTACTCTTGGTCGCTTAAGATATTTAGGATTGCTTAAGAGTAAAAGCGATGAATCGCTTAAGCGATATAAACAATCGCTTAAGCGATCTTAGATCTGGCAGATGTTGATTCTGCCTCGTACAAGATCTCTTAAGTGATCTGTAATCGCTTAAGCGACCAAGACTAAAAGTGATGAATCGCTTTTACTCTTGGTCGCTTAAGCGATCTTACGAGGTAGAACCAAATCTGCCCAGATCTATAATCGCTTAAGCGATTTCAGATCGCTTAAGAGTAAAAGTGTCGAATCGCTTAAGAGATCTTGTATGAGGCAGAATCATCTGCCCATCGCTTAAGCGATTCTTCCAGAGCGTATTTTGTTTATATTTGATTTGGTTTAATTTTTTTGCTGATATTTTGTTTATATCGATTGTGCAGATTTTCCGAAGTGTAAACTATAGAGAGTACGGATTGGAGGTTGTAAGCGATACGGTACCGTACTTCCCTGTGAGGGTGACAGTGAGGTCAAGTTGGGATGCTTTAACGAGAATAACGGGGATTTTAGGGACAGTGAGGAATGGTGAAAGGAGATTCAAAGAGACTTGTTTCAGTCATTTTTGGGATATGGACACAAAATGGAAAAAGACATTTTGGGGGTCGGGAGTGCATTATATGTTGCTGCACTCAATAAAAAGCAAGAAAAAGCATGAAATGTGGTTCATGGTGGATGGAAAGCCACTACATTTCGGGATGATGGAATATGAGTTGGTGACTGGCTTAAGATGTGGGGAATTACCAGGTGAGGTTGAGGAAAAAAGAATAACGGACAGTACGGGAGCCAAAAGGTTGGCTAACAAGGTTTTGGCGGGGAACAAGTCTACTAAGGCACGGGAATTAGAGGACAGGTTAAAAGATGGTGAGTTTAACGATTCAGAGATGTTCAAATTGTGCTTGGTATTGTTCTTACATTCGATCCTAATGGCTAGTGACTCAACAAAAGCCGTTGATATTGATTGGGTGAAGTTTGCAAGCAACTTGAACTTCTTTAATGCTTATCCGTGGGGACGGGTATCATTTAAGCGAACCATGGAGTCCCTGTAAGCAAAAGACCTGGCGTTAAAGCACTCCCAATGGGCTGAGAAGAATAGATCGGCGACGTACAATTTGTTTGGCTTCCCATGGGCAATGCAGGTAAATATTAATAGCTTTTTGTTATATTTTTTTTTTAATATATGTGTTTGAATTATGATATGGACTACTTTTTTACAATGTAGGCTTGGATGTATGAGGCCATCCCTGTCTTGGCTAAGGCAGAGGGGAGGATTAGGGCTTCGGTTATGCAACAGACATTTCCTAGGATGTTGCGGTGGCATGACTAGAAGTGTACCTATTCGGATTATGAGCAAATAGAGATTGAAATTCAATCAGCTCGGGTAAGATTAAAGGATTAAGCTTGAACATGCACTTGCTTTAAAATGTCGCTTAAATCTGATTGATTTTGTTTCTTATTGTAGGGGGTTGTCCGTCCATTCCTCACCCCTACTGGGGCTGAAGCGCAACAGCACTATGTCATATCTTTCCGAGCACTGGAGGATCAAAGGGATGAAAGGATAAATCGATTGACGTGGGACCTACAAGGGGTCACACATGTGAGGGTAGTTACAGGGCCACTACTTGAGAATGTGATTGACGCCGAGGAGGATGAAGTCGCAATCGGTGGGAGGGAGGAGGAGGGGAGGGAGGAAGAGGTTCGTATGCCTCAGCAAACCAGTACAACAAGTACCGCTTTGCTGAGGCGTCAGGGTTGGGAGAGTGAGGTGGTTGACCTCATAAAGAGTTTGTTTGATAAGATGAAAGAGCAGTTGAAAAGGGTGGAGGAGAAAGTGGATAAGGTGGCAGAGAAAGTTGTTAGGGTGGAAGAGGAAGTTGGTAGGGTGCAAGAGGAAGTTGGTGGAGTATTGAAGGCAGTTAAAGTGCAACCTGGGCTGAAAACAGAGAACCGAAAGAGCAGGTTTGTGAAATCACCTTACACCGTACTAACACGTGGAATTAAGAGGAAAACAAAGAAAAAAATTGAGGAAGAAGCCAAAAGTGAGGGGGTTAAAGAGGTTTCTCGAGGAAGTGGGGCAGTTATAATGGAGGAGGTTAAGGCGGGAGGTGAAGGAAGCGGGGATGTACAAATGGAGGAAGGGAGAGGAAGTGGGCAAGCAAAAATGGAGTCCACTGTCGATTTGTATAGGCCAATAGAGGAGGAAAAGAAAAAACCCTTCTATGCCTATTACAATGAATCCGGAAGTGATACCCTTGTAAAGTGTAAGACCGGGGATTATTCTCGAGATTGGTTTGAAAAGATTTTGACGATGGGCAGCTGGCTTCACAACTCATTGAGTTATTTGCGCTTAATTTTCCTTATTTTTGCTTATGTTTTCCATCAGGTATTGTATACTTATCATGTTGTTTTTATTTGATGCAACACATCGATGAGGTATTGGCACTGATGAGGCTGCGACAAATCAGCAATGGTGATCTACTATATCCCGATTATGCCATCACCGATGTGGCCTTTGGCCAAACACTGGTATCGACATATCGCAATTTATTGAAAAAGGCCATTAGTACATCTGTAGCAAAAAGATTCAAGCGAAAATGATCGGGCACAGAAGACTTGGACTGCGTCCCTAATGATTTTAAGTTTGATGACAGGATGATGCAATATGTAATGAAGGACAGGCCCAAATATGGCCACAGTTGGGCAAAGGTTAAAAGTGTCTACTGAATCATCCTGGTCAAGGAAATGCACTGGATAGCAGTCGTCGCGCTCTTAGAGGAGAGGTTGCTGAAGATCCTTGACTGCAACCCAACAATTTGTTGAGACAGGTAGTTGGAGGCCGAGTTGGAGCCACTGTCCGTGTTGTTCCCGTGGCTGTTACGCGAGAGCGGGATGTTTGAGCACCTCGGTGATGAAGCATTGATGGGAAAGTGGCTACTCAAACATGTTCCCGTCCTATCAAATGAGTCAAGGTAAATTTTGTATAAAACTAACTTACATAATACAATTATTCTATAAGCTGATTCTAATGCTAATGTCATCTTCCTATTGCAGTGCTGATTGTGGGGCATATGCCCTAAAATTTATTCAGTTTGACAAGACCAGCAGCCCGATGAACGGATTGAATGACAAAACAATGACTATCTTTCAGGAGTGCTGGGCTGTTGAGTGCTTCCATGGGGAAATAGATCCGTTTTGAGTGACCACAACCTAATCAAAAGGTTTGGAACTTGTACTTTTAATTTTGTAGTTTATGTGATGTTGATGTTGATACTTGGGTTGTGGTGCTGATGTTGCAGGTGTCATGCTTATACACAAGTTTACCGAAATAGACGGACTCAGTGAACTTTTAAATCTTGCACTCCATAACTTTGATTCGTGAAGGGAGAACATTTTACTCCTCAGACATCCCAACTTTCCATTTAACAAATTGGCCCTGAAAAACTTTTTGTTTTTTTGTGTTTTATTTAGAAAAGTTAACATGGCTACAAGTGTGCCGAATAATTTTGCAGGTTGCTGGCAAACAATGAGAGGGAACTCCTTAAACTAGCTTGGGCTGTCAGAGTAGGCTGCCAGCAAGGCATCTGCAATCAAGGCTGGTGGCCAAGAGGAGACATCTGCAATCAAGGTTGCTGGCAAGCCATGGTACCATGAAATGATCTCAGACAGTGATTATACCAAATTTGAAAACTTCTCAAAGTGGCGGCATCTGCAATCAAGGCTGCTGGCAAGGTATGGTACCAAAGAATGATCTCAGACAGTGATTATACCGAATTCCAAAACTTGTCAAAGTGCCTTAGGATTTATTCTGTTTTGGCACTATTATGAATGATTTTAAGTTTAAACTTTCAATTACATTGATGTCTCTTATATTTTGATCTGTGATGGATTAGATTGATGTAAATGACTTCATTTTGCTGCTTATTCTTTTCGAATTTGGGAGGAAAATGAGTTATAAATGACAGATTATTACATAATTCAAGAGAAATGTAGGATTCTTCTCTTTTTGTCATGATCGCTTAAGCGATATATGAGCGACCACATATATTTCTTAAGCGACCAAGATTTTTTCTCAAATGATCACTTAAGCGATACCAGAGGATCGCTTAAGCGATCATAGATCTGGGCAGATTTTATTCTACCTCGGAAGAGATCGCTTAAGCGACCAAGAGTAAAAGCGAAGAATCGCTTAAGCAATACCAGAGGATCGCTTAAGCGATCATCTATCTGGGCAGATTTTATTCTACCTCGGAAGAGATCGCTTAAGCGACCAAGAGTAAAAACGAGGAATCGCTTAAGCGATACCAGAGGATCGCTTAAACAATCATAGATATGGGCATTTTATTCTGCCTTGGAAGAGATCACTTAAGCGACTAAGAGTAAAAACGAGGAATCGCTTAAGTGATACCAGAGGATGGCTTAAGCGATCATAGATATGGGCAGATTTTATTCTGCCTCGAAAGAGATCGCTTAAGCAATCTTAAATCGCTTAAGCGACCAAAAGTAAAAGCGAGGAATCGCTTAAGCGATACCAGAGGATCGCTTAAGCGATCATCTATCTGGGCAGATTTTATTCTGCCTTGGAAGAGATCACTTAAGCAACCAAGCCCCACTAACAAAACACATAAAATGGGTTAAAATGAAAGGATGAAAACATATTTGGGCCGAGTAGACGTAATAAAAGATTTTAAAATTTGAAATTTCTCAAAACAAGCCCCACTAACTATTTACCTCGCTTAATCGAAATTCATTAGGGCAAAAATCAATTTCTTGAACCAAAGGGAGACAAGCGATTTCTGATCCAACCTGCAAATTTCCACACCATATTCAATCATAAACTCAATTTCTTGAACCCTAAACGGAATATAGTAGCAATTTTCGGCGATAAGGCACGATTTTCTATCGATTTCTTGAACCTTAAAATCGATTTCTTGAACCCTAAACGAAATCTGCGTGATTTCCGACGATACAGCCCACATTTCCGATCCAAACTACAAATTTGCACACCAAATTAAATCCAAAACCATGGCTGACACTCACAATGATGAGGACAACCCAACGCCACTTCGAATCCTAGATTCCGGTGGCGCAAGCAGTTTAATGGCTGGTCGACAGGGAGAGGAGACGCCGGCGACACTTGAACAGAGGGATGAATCGTCAAACGGTTCTGAAGACGCTAAGTCAGGCGATAATTCAGGCCAAGAGGAGGATTCCGGTGAGAATTCAAGGCAGGAGGATTCCAGCGAGGATTTCGAAGCAAGGGTACGTTCTCAACTATCGCTTAAGCGATCATTTGTATTGCTTAAGCGATTAACCTCTTTTACTCCATCTGCCCAAATCTAAGATCGCTTAAGCGATCCTTGATAATCGCTTGCTTAAGCGATTGATTAAGTTGACTCTTGGTCACTTAAGCGATTTCAGATCGCTTAAGCGATCTTTTCGAGGCAGAATCATAAATATAAGATCGCTTAAGCGATCGTTTGTGTCGCTTAAGAGATTCTTTTAGTTTACTCTTGGTCGCTGAAATCGATTAAGCAATCTTGCGCTAGGCAGAGTCAAGATCTCTTAAGTGATCTGAAATTGCTTAACCGACCACAGTCGTAATTTTTTGTTGCTAATATTTTGTTTATTAGTTGTTTTGGTTTATTTTTGTTGCTGACATTTTGTTTATATCGATTGTGCAGATTGTGCGGACCGTAAACATCACAGAGTACGAGTTGGACCTTATAAGCGATAAGGTGCCCTACTTCCCTGCAAGGGTGACGGTCGGGTCAAGTTGGAAAGTTTTTGACAGAATACAGGAAATATTAGATGGAATTAGGCATGGTAAAAGAGATTTCAGTCACACTTGTTTTGGTTAGTTTTTAGGACTCGGAAATCATTGGAAAAAGGCATTTTGGGGGCAGGGAGTGCATTACATGTTGCTGCACTCAGTAAGATGCAATAAAAAAAAATATGGTTTGTGGTGGGCGAAAAGCCACTACGTTTTGGCATGATGGAATATGCCATGGTGACAGGTTTAGGATGTAGGGAAGTGCTAGATAAGAAGGCAGAGGCAGTAAAGAATAGTCGGGGAGCCATACAGTTTTGTAATAAGGTTTTGCAAGGGGCTAAGTCTATTACAGCACAGGTATTAGAGAATAGGCTAGAAACAGTTGAATTTACTGATAAAGAGAAGATAAAAGTGTGCTTGGTTTTGTTTTTACATTCGATCTTATTGGCTGGTGACTCAACAAAAGCTATTGAGAAAGATTGGTTGTTGTTTGCAAGCAACTTGAAAGCTTAAGCGATCATAGATCTGAGCAGATTTTATTCTACCTCGGAAGAGATCGCTTAAGAGATCCTAAATCGCTTAAGCGACTAAGAGTAAAAGCGAGGAATCCCTTAAGCGATACCAGAGGATCGCTTAAGTGATCATCTATCTGGGCAGATTTTATCTTTCCTTGGAAGAGATCGCTCAGCCAACCAAGCGCGACTAACTAAACACGTAAAATGGGTTAAAATGAAAGGATTAAAACATATTTAGGTCGAATAGAAATTTTTTTTTTAAAAAAAATTTGAAATTTCTCAAAACAGGCCCCACTAACTGTTCACCTCACTTAATCGAAATTCATTAGGGCAAAAATCGATTTCTTGAACCAAAGGGAGATAGGCGATTTCCGATCCAACCCCGCAAATTTCCACACCATATTCAATCGTAAACTCAATTTCTTGAACCCTAAACGGAATATAGTCGCGATTTCCAGTGATAAGTCACGATTTTCTATCGATTTCTTGAACCCTAAAATCGATTTCTTGAACCATAAATGGAATCTACGCGATTTCCGGCGATATAGCCCATATTTCCAATCCAAACTACAAATTTTCACACCAAATTCAATCCAAAACCATGGCTGACACTCACAATGACGAGGACAACCCAACGCCACTTCGAATCCTAGATTCTGGTGGCGCAAGTAGTTCAATGGCTGCTTCGTTGGATCATCTGATCAGTGAACATGGTCGATAGGGAGATGAGACGCCAACGGCACAAGAACAGAGGAAAGAATCGTCAAACGATTCTGAAGACAAGGAGTCGGGCGATCATTCAGGCCAAGAGGAGGATTCCAGTGAGAATTCAGGGCAGGAGGAGTCTTCTGAGGATTCAGGCGACGAGGAGGAGGCCGGTGAGAACGAGCAGGCCGTCGAAGAAAGGGTACGTTCTTAACTGTTGCTTAAGCGATCATTTGTATCGCTTAAGCGATTAACCTCTTTTACTCCATCTACCCAGATCTAAGATCGGCTAAGCGATCCTTTATATCGCTTAAGCGATTGACTAAGTTGACTCTTGTCGCTTAAAATAAGCGATTTAAGATCGCTTAAGCGATCATTTTGAGTCAGAATCATATATATAAAATCGCTTAAGCGATCTTGCACGAGGCAGAGTCAAGATCTCTTAACTGATCTGATATTGCTTAACCGACCATAGCCGTATTTTTTTATTGCTGATATCTTGTTTATTAGTTGTTTAGGTTTATTTTTGTTGCTGACATTTTGTTTATATCACTTGTGAAGATTGTGTGGGCCGTAAACATCAAAGACTACGAGTTGGACCTTATAAGCGATAAGGTGCCCTACTTCTCTGCAAGGGTGATGGTCAAGTCCAGTTGGGAACTTTTTGACAGAATACAGGACATTTTAGATGGAATTAGGAATGGTAATAGAGATTTCAGTC